GAGCCCCAAACCAGCGGCGAGTGAGCACAGAAGTGACGGCTCTGAGGGAAAAAAACCCACAAACCCTCTTCTTTTTTTGTTTAATTACAGAACTTGGGAGAAAGGGGACCTCTTCTTTTAGTACACACCTAGGTATTTTAGTCAACACTTAGTTTTAACTCCTGATGCATACTTCTCAAAAATACTGCGTTTCTACATACTATTTTTTTCATCACTGCCATTTTGGTTCAGACACTAGAACGAGGTTGTTTCCCTGAGAAAGAAAAATAAAGATGTGGCTTGTGTTAACTGTTCAAGAGTTAACAGTTGGTCATGGAAGACCAAGATCTACACAATTACAAACAATTTTTTAAAAAAACTGTATAGGTACAGTATCCTGTCGATACCAGTGACTGGAAGGAGTTTGATCACAGCTTTGAAGAGCAAAAGTTTTGATCCCAGGAATGTTTTCTGGTTCCTCATTTCCACACTCTCACTCTGGTTCAGTTTTTCAAGCAGTCATCTTGGGGAATGCGGTCAGCAAACCACCCCCACAGACCCATCGAAAATCGGTGACAGCAGCCAAGGTGGAGATCAAGTTAAAGAAAAATGACATTAAGAGACATTTCCAATGTCATATACATTAAAATGTAAATTTTCAATAGATTTTTTTTTCCTCCTGTGCTTGCCTTTGCTATATAATCAATACACCAAGAGTAAGGTAAGCTGCTCGCATACAGTTCTTATTTTAAAGTCTGGTTTTTTAAGTATAAGGTTGTTAATGATTATTCTGTGATTAAAATAGAGCAGACAAAAACCCCCAAAAGAATGATTCATTTTTTATTAATACCCATCAAAACAATACAGATAAAAGAAAAAATTCTGCATAGTACACAAATGTTTGGACAAACACACTAGGAAAAAAAAAAGAAACTAAAACATACATAAGAAACCAAACACATACAGAAGGATTGCACAGTTAGGCATTCAGTATCTCCAGACATTGTGTATGTGAGGTAACATAACACAACAGCAATGTATCGTGCCACATATTTTATCGCAACTGATACAAAACTTTATTCTCATGAATTTAAACTTTGCCTGTGTTATTCTCAGTTTTTTTTAAAATAAATCTGTCAAATTAACTGAGAGAAATTTTCTCTGCTGGCTTGAAGAGGCACACCTCTTCAAAACGGGGTATTGCTTTGCTTTTACTTAAATATATTTATCACCAACAATACATTCACTTTTATGTAATAAACAGATATAATTCTCTCCAGGTAACTAGAAAACTATTTACAATTTAATTCAACTACAAGCCACCTGACCTGCAACTAAGATTTATATTAAAATGCAATTTTCCAGTATCAAGAAGATTGTCATTATTACAAGCAAGACTAAACTTTACCTTAGAAAGTTACAGTAGTAAATCTTGCTTTGTTTCAAGTTAGGTTTTTTTGACAGGCAAAAATATGCCATAGCAAAAGTTCTTATGTTTGTGGAAAGAAACTTTCCTTAGGTTGTTAATTCTATGAAAGCCACTTGAGGTGCTATCAGGTAATTAAAAAAAATTACCTCAGAACTGCATTAAGAGGTTTCTAAAGGATTTACTTTTCATATACCAAAATGAGATTTGGTTTAAAACCTTTATGTAATATGCAATGCACTATACAGCACCACAGACTACTTCAGAAAAATGTATTCCCAGAAGCTGGAAAACAATGATAAAAGTTTATCAAGTTTTCAGTTGTTTTCTTTTAAAGAGAGGTACTCAAATTATCTGGGAGATGTTCAGATCTGCAGCGTTCCAAAGGCAATCACAGCAGTATGTCACATAAAAATATATATATAGGACAAAAATATCAAATAAAAGCAGTTAAAGGACTTTATTTGAGCTTTCGTAATAAATTTTAAGATATATTTGTTTAATATATGTATAAATATATTTGTAGAAGTAATCTTTATTGAATTATGCACAGGTAACAGCATGCAATGAAAAAAAAACATTACAGAGTAGAAGTCAAGTACGCTGAAATCAAGTTATCACTGAGCATAACTGAAGGCTGCAATTTCTTTCTTCATTTCCTAATAAGAAAAAAAGACAAACTAGCAGTTAGCATGAACAAAAGCTTAAGAACCCTGTTTATTTCTCCATAAGAAGAATAAAGAATCTGTACATACATACAATTGCTAGTAATATTTAGCAAATACACGTGCTACCACCATCACAATGTCTTTCTACACCCACTAGCCTCAAACGCATCCTTTATGCATCCAAAATAGAGAGTAGGCTAGAGAGATGATATGGATCTCTATCAAGAGACCATGGTTTTGTATCAGCAGTGGTTTCAACAGCTAGAAAGAGGAGACAGTTCCTGAAAAGCCACAACTAAAAGCTGGAAACGTTATTTTCTGCACTCTGAATAATTACTTGTTAAAGTCTCTCTCTTCATACAGTAGAGCTTGCCCCTGACCGACCTGCACAGTCACTCTGAATAGGAGATTTTTTTTTTGTTAAAGCTAAAGATAGAAGTAGAAAACAAAGAAATCAAGTCCCTTTTAATTTAAGCATTGAAAGTTAAGTCACAAAAGCTCACCAGCCATCAGATAACATAAATAAATCCCTTCTCATGCTAAAACACATCATTATACTAGATGAGAGAAGGGCACATTTTTCAGGAATGGCCTCCCTGAATCCAAATAATCCTCACTGTTGCACAATCAGAACGAAGCGTCCGTTCTAACTCTTTATCAGATGTGGAAGAAGAGATCGAGATGACCAGGGCCTTTTTTAAGGCAGACTGAGAGGCATAAAGAATTTTACCTATTCTCAGGCACAAGCATCTCAAAGACAAATGGATTCAAGGATCTTGAATCTGAAGACTGAATATCCAACCTATCTAAATCGACTCAATACTGGGAATGTGTGACTGGGACCATGGGTGCCTCTGGAAGATTTCTGCTGAGTTCTGACAACTCAGAAATCCTCTCTTACAGGAAGAGATCAGAGGATTTGACTTACTAGCATTACACCAGCATAGACAGAAATCTCCCCATATGTCAAATTCAAGATGCTTGAGCCATGCTAGTTAAAAAGAGATTATGGTGAGACTAGAGAAAGTCTCAACCTCTTGTTATGTTTCACACTTAATTTCTTTTCAAGAACGGAATGAGTACTACATGAAGTATTACCATGTCTGACTGCCTGTAAGGGAAGAAAGAGGAGACAAACTGAGAAAAGCACCCTCCTTTCATAGCCCCCCAACCCTAAAAAGGTTCTGGAGAAGGACTATTGACAGGCTGAGGTTAACTGCTTGGAGAGGGCTGTGTGGGTGGACCCATTGTCTTCAAGTTCAAGCCTTTT